TCTGTGAAAACTAATAATGTTTAAAGTTTGATGCTGAAAATGCTAAGTTTATGTGACACTAAGCTTATTTGATATACGATCTTGGTTTTTATGGCTGGTTTATGTATCTAGTATTATAATAACATTATTCATATTATAAGATTTTAAACTTTCGTGTTCCATTTCAACTAAAGTAGAAACAACTAAAATAGTCAGCTTGTTGCATAGCAGTTAAGATCCGTGTCTTTCTATTTTAGTTATTATTCATATTACTCTTGTGAAGACACTGAGTTAACAGGTCAATAAATCCATACTTTTATACTCAGCTACCTTCGAATTCATATTGACGTGTTAATATAAATAAAATTCGAAGGGAGCTCTGTCTGTCTGTCTAGGAACCTTTTCACGATTGAACCAATTTCTATGAAATTTTGTATAGAGATAGTTTGAGACTTTGGATAAAACAGGATCGTTTTTGTCACAAAAATCATCCCAGTTTGAAAAATATAGTACGATGATAAGTTCGAAAAATATATTACGATGAGAAGCCTGTTTAAATACTGCTCCAATACCTATAGGTTTTTCTGTAAAATAAACCCTATTGATATCTAGATACTTACTAGATTTTCAGTCGTATTCCTTGCTTTAATTAAAACTTAATTAATCCAGTGACGTGTTTTTTACTGAAATCACTAATTTTGCGATCCATGAAAACGATACTACTGTACTTTACTTCTTTCAGTGGCTTTAAAGCGAACAAAAAACTGTATAGCATTTGAGAGTAGGTTTATTAAATTAAGCTGTTAAATTACTAGTGCACTAAAGTAAAAGTCACGTAAAGAACACAACTGCAGCTTGGAAATTTAATAAAGCTTATTTAATAGAACACATTCTGCAAGTGACTAAACAACTTTCATAGAACTCAATATGCTGACTATTTATGTATGTTTATCTAGACAATTTTATGCAGCTTACTATTTCACTTATTTTACCAATGGTCCGTGACCCTCACTCGGCATGGGGCACACTGAAAACCAGCGCCGTGGCCTTCGTCACCGTGGGCCACGGCATAATATGCTGAGTGGGGTCCCGTTGCAGTGGGCATCTTGTTGGTGAATGGGTGGCACTGCTCAGTTTGCTCTTGTTTTTTTTTTCTTCTTCCATTATTATGTGCCACTGTCATGGCTATGTACGAGTAATTGCCTGTATTTGTGTGATGTCCATTGTCATAAATGTATCTTTCTTTCTTTCTTTCTTTCTAAAGTCGTCAAAGACAGAAGTATAATTCCATCTGTATTTGAACTGTACCATTAAACAAATCCCAATATTAATTTTGCGGAATTACTACCGCAAAAGCAAATGATCTACAGAATTTGAGAGCATTAATAAACACGGTGACGATAATGAAGCGGTGGCCGAGCCGTTGGTAATTTCTATTTGTAATTCCGGAATAACATTTCGAAATGATTTATTTGCATTATTAATTAGATGTTTTAATAATTGTTGAAATATTAAACTGCCTCAAACATTAAAGTTAGATAGGTTCTTACTGTGAATTGCGGTATCGCGACTTAAGGGAAGAACAAAATTTTGTGTAATTTTATTATGACCTTGTGTATTTAAAAGAAAAGTTCTGAATTTTAGGGGAGGCACTTGATACGAATTTGTATTCATCTCGTAGAACAAGAATTTAGTGATCGTCGGCGTACAAGTGGCATGTCAATCATTGCACAAAGCTTAAAAACAAGCAAGGGCAACACAAAAGTTTTTAACAAACTTTCTACTAAATAATTCGAGTTAAAATAATAACGAAACACCAACAGAAGGTTATTAAATCTACGACACTCATGAGCTATCACCAGAGAATACATAGTAGAAATAATTCGAGTCCAAAAAACAAAACACAAACAGCTTTTTGGAACCACAAAGTTGAATAAACTCACATTATCTCTAATACCTAACAGAATTTAGTCGCCCACTTCGTTGATAGCATCAAAATATAATTTGCATTCACCAAACTGCAGCTCACTTCATTAGTGTAGGTATGTATTAACCTGGCGGGTGGTTTTAGCTGTCACGGGGGGTAAATTTCGTCGCAGGCTAATTTGGTTAAGGGGTGCGCATTAATAATATTCCGCCGCCGTTAGCCAGTAGTACAGTGGTTCCCAACTTTGTGATTCGCAGGGACCACGATATAAAAATAAAGAGAGATAAGATAATGTTTAATCGAAAGGTCATCGTAATAAAATTTGCAGTAACAATATTGTTCTAAAGGAGTCCTGTTCCCGTTTTCACCATCAATCCCTATTTTTTAAATAATCCCTATGGTAACACATAAAATGAATTTTGTTTTCAAATGGGTCACTTAAAAATTAGGGATTGATGGTGAAAATGGGCACTAAACATTGAATACTTTTCTCTGCATGTCAATCACACACATGACACCCAGTTGATCTTTTTTATTTTTCTACGTCCTATACGAATGGAAAGCACTTTTCTTTTATAAATCTTTCAACGCAACGTAAGACGTCTACCCAATAGGTTACAGGATGGCTGGATGCATACCGCTACCAACCGGTCAATCTAGAAATCATTGGGGAAGCAATTGACGTTATGTGGCTGATATGATGATGATGATGAAATCTTTGAAATTATAGATTATATTCTATTCTAATCCTGTTCTAGACCACTGTTTGGCAACCACTGCCCTAGTCGGACAGGTCAAAGCGCCTTTAATGAAGCGGCTGAAATCGTTCAGTGAAAATTCGCTTAGATTTGATGGCTTTGATGTCGGAAAAGCGCTGTGGATTGTTCAAAAAGTTTAGCTTGTTGTTGTTTATTAGAGAGAATAGGATTTATTATTATCAGATCAGATCAAATAAAGATCAAAATGGGTCTCATCCAAAAAAGTGCTTTGCCACACTCGCATTAATTGGTATTTCATTGTTAATTGTCATCACTAACCAAGAATTCCAAGACCTAACTTCTTTAAAAAGCACTTCATTTTGTCCTGAAACCTGTATTAATTTTTAATTTGTTGTGTAACTTTGTTAAAACTTTAAAGCTCTTAATATCACGTAACATGAAGATGTATGAAGCGCTAATTACAGTACAAAGTTCCATCCTTAAAATATTATCCTGCTTTCGCCTCCGAGATTTATTTTACCATGTANATGTATTAATATGAAGGTCGACTGTAATCGTACATACTAACATACTTAACTAACATAATGTATTTTAAGTTTCTAAAGATTTGATCACAACCGGAAGACGTAGCGTGAGCAGGCCTCCCACTAGGTGGACCGACGATCTGGTGAGGGTCGCGGGAGGTGCCTGGATGCGAGCGGCGCAGGATCGGTCTTCGTGGAAATCCTTGAGAGAGGCCTTTGTCCAGCAGTGGACGTCTTTCGGCTGAAACGAACAAACGAACGAACGATCACAACCAAGTCTATTGGTATTTAATTCACTGAGGCGAAAGGTCTAAAAGGTTAATTTTGCTAACAACATTTCATAAATACAGAATCATTCAATCAAATGAAATAAAACTATGTTCACAATTTCATATCACGTTACTAAGCCACATTTATACCCAGAGCCTTTCTTTTTGCCATCAGCCACTCGGCCAGCACCTAATTCGGTTAGGGTCTGGGCATTAATAATATTCCAGCATCAGGACGGGTCAGAGTCCCCAATCAGTCTCGAAACGAGACGTCTGATGGCCAGGACTCGGTAGCGTTTATAAATACGGCCGAAATATGAAGCTAGGAACGTGGCGATAATATTACTTTTGGAGTGCCAAAGGGTAGAGAAGTAATGACGGTTTTAGTTATATGAAAACGTATTCATCTTTATTTAGATGAAGTGTGGAAGGTTGACTGATTGTTGTTTGCCAATTGGATATGCGGTTATTCCTAAGATCTGAATAAATTGGAAATGTAAGTAATAAACTCGTGTTCGGGATCGGAATACTCTTGGCATATTTTGTGCTCAAGTCTCTGAGATCGTCAACAACTACAAAGCAATGTTACACAAAGTTTAGGTAAATTACAGGCATAAAAGGCTTCTAAAGAGTCACCAATCCATCCAATCACTCATCATCATCATCTCAGCCATAGGACGTCCACTACTGAACATAGGCCAATCACTCATCATCACATTAAAATTAAGAAAGTAGATACTTACCACAATAATTCTAGAGTCTACATAAAATCAAGGCAATAAACTCGATATTACATACACATTGTAACTAAATATTGTTTATGTGGCCATAACGTTAATACCGACCCTATAATATCACCCGAGCCATTCTCCATTAACCAATACGTACGTCATTTGTTATGCAAGGTTTATTACCAAAGCTACCAATATAGCGACCTAACTGACGTTAATACCTTTGCCATCCCTTTGAACAAATGCCAGTCATAGCAAACTCGACGTCTCCCTTTGTGTTCCGGTAATTAAACAAACCGGTAACAACGTCTGATCTTCATTACCACGTACAGATAGGTCAGTTAGATATTCGTACACTACGCCACTGAGTTCAATTAGTACGTCGTTCAAAGACCTGTCCAAAGATCTTTGATATTTGATTTTGATTTCGCTAATTTGTTCCTCGGACGTCACGTCAAATCAAAGAGTAAAAGCCTCAGGCACGAATCCTACTTCAGCGTGACTTAAACACGATATAATACAATACAATTCATAAAATTTAATAGATATCACAAACACGTATTGTTTAGAAATTAAAAGCATTTCGCATACCGGAAACAAATAACAAATGCTTCCATTGTTTCTTTCTAAAGCTCGTCAATCATTGTGAAAAGTGAGAAAAGAAAACCTACAGAAAAACTTTACTCTACTCGTAATTGTGCTATAATATTTACTTCTGTTTGTTTGTATAGATAGACGTTTTTCGGTCTCATATCAAGAAACAAAAATCTGGAATTCTCGATAAAAAGAATAATCCGTATCAGGATGCTCCCCAGAATGCTATAAACTCACCGCACTTTTTTTTGTTACAGGTAGACGCATAAAGTGCACAGCCCTGCTATGAAATGGGCATTAGAGCGATCCGGAGCGGATGCTGGCTGGTTCTGATGCTGATAAACCTGTCTGGAAGCGACTGGTTGAGCTGTGCCAACATCCAGGAATGCCGCTGCAAATGGTCCTCCGGGAAGAAAACCGCGGCGTGCGTCACCGCTGGCCTCCGACGACTACCCCATTTGGCAGCCGATATTCAAGTCCTAGACTTACACGGAAACCAATTAAGGACATTAGAGCAAGATGCCTTCATCAACACGGGACTATTAAACTTGCAACGACTCAATCTCAGTTCGACGAACCTACGATCGTTACACCCAAATGCTTTCAGAGAACTGCGCATACTTATAGAATTGGACCTCTCCCAAAACGAACTGTATCAACTATCACCTGACACCTTTAGAGGGAACGACCGATTAAGGCTGCTAGTTCTAAACGACAATCCATTGACGACTTTAGTTGCTGAGCAATTTCCTCCGTTACAACATCTCAAAAAGCTGGAATTATCAAGATGTAAACTCCACACTATTCATCCCTTCGCATTCGCAAACCTACGAGCTCTGGAGACCATTCACGTACATCAAAACTTGTTGGCGTATCTTCATCAAAACACGTTCAACTTGCCTGTTTTGAAAACTTTAACGTTATCAGATAACCCTTGGTACTGTGATTGTAGATTAAGAGAATTTCACGAATGGTTTTTGAGTAGCAATCTGGGGAACGAGGAAGTATTTTGCGGAGGCCCCGAGAGGAAAGCCCAGCTTTCTTGGCGAACGCTTAAAGGCAGTGATATGGTATGTCCTCCAACGGCAGTGTCCAGTCCAACCGTCATCAGAACTGAATCAGGAGCTGATGTGACTTTTGGATGCTTTGCAAGCGGAGATCCGAAGCCTACACTAACGTGGTCTTTCCACAATACTGACGTCATTATCAATTCCACAAATGGATTTAGTGATATACTAATTTATAAGTACCAGACGGACCATTTCGATGAGTATAGAGACGATTACGTGAATAAAAGTGCTCAATGGGCTAATGTGACTATTAATAATGTTACTAGTGACCTAGCAGGGGAATGGAAATGTAGTGCCAAGAGTGCTGTGGGGGAGGCATCAGCGTTTTTGACAATATTTTTACCTAAAGCGAGAGCTGCGACTGCTAGAGTTGCACCGAACTATTCGACCTTTTTCATTTTAGGCGGTTCTATGCTAGCGATGACGGGCGCGGGCGTTATTGCAGCCTGTGTCTGTTGGAAGACTAGACGCCGAAGAGTGCCACCAAGCAGAAGTTTTACGGATCAAGAGAAGAAATTACTTGATACGTCTCTCGCCGCTAGTTGTGACAGAACGAGCGCAGATTTAGGTTCTTCGTATGGTTTCGAAATGCTAGATAGGTCTATGTCGATGGAGAGTGAGGATACACAGAGATGTATGGACCCAGTTCAAATTACGATAGAAGGTCCCCCTGGTAGTTTTCCACCGCCGCCTGCGGAGTTTGCCTTGCCCGCTCCGTATGGGAATATTTTTATATCAGTCCAAGTGTCTGGGCACAACGATGAGTATCCAGACTTGTTGGGTGGTGGAGCAACCCTCCCTAGACGAAGTAGGACTTGTTTTTTAAAGTCAGCTTACGATAATATGGGTCCTCGAATAACAGCTGCTGGTAGTTCCACTTGGTCCCTCCCTGGTGCCAATGGTGACAACACCAAGAGAGTTGAAAAAGACAATGAAAACCCCATGCCATTGTCGACGTTCTCAACAGAATTTACTGCTCTGTAAATACTAATTTTACCAGCGACATTGTAAATAAATTTGGATTTACTAATATTACTAATGATTTGCGTGTGTACAATACAATGAATTATATTAACATATCAATTCGTAGATAAATAAAAATGGCTTATGTTATCGTTACGAGTGAAGATAGTTTATAGATAAATATTTACGTTAAATTAAATTCAAATAAACAATGACTGAATTTTTGTATGTATACGAAGCTGATGTTTGTGTTGTACTATCGATAATATGTTGAATTTTATTGTAAATTTTTTCTCTTTACTGATACTGCTTCTTTTTATATGAAGTTTTAGACAGTTTTATGATTATTTCGTTGGTTATACAAAGATTGTACAACTAGTGTTAATTACTGACGCCTCTATTCATAGTTCTATTTGTAAGAATTTTTGATCAACAATCGTTGCTTTAAAATCTATGAGAGAATAAAGAGTGCAACAATATCTGTGGTTTTGTTATCCTCACACATTTTACCACATCTGTGGCTATCACAGATGACAGAAATTATCATAATAATATTGAGAATTTTAATCTTAATATATAATTACCTAAAATGTCATAGTATACTATGGCTATAATAATATAATGTCGTCCATTAGCCTTGATGGACGTTTACACACAAAGTAAAGCTTCTCTATTGACACTGGCTAAATGACAAGCAAGATTTTGAGATGATAGCACATACATAAAAAGTTATTAATAGTGAAGAAAATTGGCCCTTGATTAAAATCCATTCAATTTAATCAATCGAGTGACTGCATGTCAGTCTCAAACGTTTATTTACTAAATTGTACCGCAACTTAGTTATGATAAGGTTTTGAATCGCCTGCCAGCTTTGGTAGCTCAAATAGACGGTCTACATCCAGTAATGGAGTTTCTAAAAGTCTCGACTAACTCGCAAAGATGTCGAGTTCAGTAAACTCACAGGTATGTTTCTAGGCCACTACAGATGAAGTGAGCCACTCGCTATAAAGAATCTTCATCAAAAGCAATTTGGCGTAAGGAGTTTCATTCAAAAGGGTCTTCCGAATCGCGAGAAAAATCTAGTTTTATTTTTCCAGTTCATACGGCGTTTTCTGGATAACATCTGGTTTTCAACATTTTAGTTTAGTGATGTTTGGAAGTCGACAGATTGACACTTGCGATTGCGATAGAATAAGAAGTACTTATTACCTACTATCGAATACTGTAGCTTGATACAGACTTTAGAAATGTAGATCGTGGGTTCGATTCCCAGGCACATTGAAAAAAATTGCTGGTAACTGCCGTCAGGTTTAAAAGTGGAATTCTTCTTCGCCGTCGCTATTCCCCTATAGCTGTAGGCAAGATCTACAGGCTGGCAATAATGAACGAATGAAAGTTCATAATGATACATTTAAGTCAACTGATACAACGAAATTGCAGAATCAGAAGTATTTATGTGAACATTCATTTCAAATTGTAGTCTATGCTAGTAAATAATAGATAAGCTGTGCTTATTAGTCCACTTTAGGGCACTTACAATTCCCAAGTACATAGTATGGACATAATTAATTGCATAAAATTATTCGAGACATATCAACCGGTGGCAAGAAATGGCGGAAAAATTCATTTTAAATTCAAGCATAGAACTACGAAACAAAAATTGGGTGTAATGGAGTATTTTAGATGGTAAATATTATTGACTTATCTTGGACAAGTATTACATTATCGATAAATAAATCACAACACTGACGTTGTTCGAAATCGCCTGTATTTCCTCTAAGGAAGTCTCAAACAGCCATTATCTCGGACGTCCAATCGGAAAGCTGGAAGAAATCGAACATACGCGATACAGGCTAGGAAATGACCCGGACTTGACTTGGCAGGTCCAGTGGATTGTTAAGAAACAGCTAAAGTTACTAAAGTGAAACTTGAAATATAATTTTATTATGGAACTGGGAAGCGAATCACACTACATAGTAGGATATACACACTATCGTAACTTTTGTTTCGTGTTGGAAGCTTTACAGATTACTTTTAAGTATTTTGATGGAATATTCTTACACTAACGTCTCTGGTTCATGGTGAATTAGAAATTAGAAATTTGGACCCGCAACCTTACCTGGGGAGGCCTATGTTGAGTTGTGGACGTTGAATGAAATGACGATGATGATAAGTAAACCGCACCTGGAATAAACTCTACCAAGCCAGTCCGTCAAAAACCTTTTAAAATCCACACAATATCACAATCAGTTTGTGTAATTTCATGCAAATAGATAACCATTCCACCGACAAAGATCGCCCAAAAAATGAAAACCATATTTCATCCGAAATAGTTTCCCAAATTGTGCGACAGTGCTAAACTGTTACCCTAGCACAAACTCCCGTATAAAACGACAAAGTAGGGCCAAATTTGGTTACCACCACTTTGTATGCGCGCGACGTTTGCCTTCGGACGCCCTGCGCCTGGCAACGACATACATTATTTTATACAAATTGAAACGTCAGCACGATTTTGTTATATGCTTACACGACAATTGGGCGGTGAGAAATGTGGGGCATAATTGAAATTGCGCAAGGTGTTCTAGGATTATTTTAGCGGGAATTGAGGAGAAATCTATGTGAATCGGGTGGAAATCTGCCAGTTTCTCTCATGATTGCGATACCCAGAGTGAAATTGCTGTGTAATGTAGGTGTAATTATTGCATTCTGGTTATTTCTCACATAGAGATAAGCAAAATGATCTTAGAGACAGATTCCTGTTAGTATATTTTCTAGAAACCCTGAGGTGGAATTGTGTAAAGCATTCGTAATCATATGACAGTTCATAACGTACGATAAAGTCAGTTAAACAAAGCGTTTGACAGAATAATCGTACGTTATGAACTGTCAAATGATTAGGATTGCTTTACACAATTCCACCTCTGATTATGAATTTTACAGTCAGCGTATGAAACGCTTTACAGTGAATGGAAGTCGATTCTAAGCTTCGAACTCATTTCATTTCTTCTTTCTTTCAGCCTTCACTGGAGAAGTGGTAGTGATGGAAAAGCAGACGTTTCCAAAATCTTACCAGATAAAGAATAGACTGACATAGCGATACTAAAAAAAGGAAGTCAGTGAAGCTTCAGAATTTTATTTGCAATCATTTCAAACGCATCGACACAAAGATTTTTCAAATATCGTTAAAATAAAAAATATATTTGCGAATATCGTCGTTTTATTTGATACCCATGCCAAATTGACAACTTGTCAATTATCAGAGAAATAGATACGTTTGATTTCACATTGAGTTTTATTTGCAATTCATACGAAACGTGTCAGTTTTTAGTTTGGGCACCAGATTTAATTTTTTGATGTTTTATTTTTATGTTATAACAGCAAGAACGTACCTAGTGCAATAACTTTTACATGTATTTATTTGAAACGGATTTTGTTTAGAGTGCAAACAGAACTACAAGCGTTACGTGCTCTATGAAAATGTTGGTTGTTTTTTGGGATGGTTACTGCAATTGAAAAAATATAATGATTCCCATATCTAACATACATTATAAGGTATTATCTTCATTGTGGTTTCTAGTTCTACATTTGAGGCTAAATAATCTGAAAGTATTTTACCTGAAACTTCAAAATAACTTTAAATTAAAATAGTTTCGCGAGATACACTATCACTTCAATTCAAACTAACTTACTTTTCACTTTGTAACTTAAATTCCGGAACTAAGTGAATTAACATTTCCGGTGCTCAAGAGAACATCTCAATTTGAGATTTACGTTTCAGATTAACCGAATAATGCCTAACTCTACATTTAACTAGAAATTACTGGACAAACTGGCCATAGTTGGAGCTGAATTAGAATTTCAAAGCTGAAATTAATCTTCAAGACAGTCCAGCCATTGTTATGCTAGCTCGACTGGTTGTGGCTTTGGTTGGTTACCTTTAGTTCATTAAGCTATTCTAAAATACTCGTAAACATGCAGATTATAAAGCTATTTTGTTGCCTCATTACTCATACATATCAACACACGCACCTATGTATGTACAGTCAGCATTAAAAGGTGGCCAAAAAGTGAACAATACAACCTTATTCCAATTGTAACAAAGACGAGTTGCGAACTTATTGGCTATTTTGGGTGTCACGAACTATTTAATGCTGACTGTGCGCACGCGATATACGAATTCGTATCTTCAAATTAACATATTGTTCCATTTTAACTATTTCAGTCTGTTAACGAACTCGTAATTAGGTATATGCTATGACTCCACGAATGAGGAGATCCGTAAACGAACAAAAGTCGCTGATACAACCTCACGGACTAACAAGCTGAAGTGGCAATGAGGCATGGCCAGGGCACATAGCACGCAGAACTGACGGCTGATGGGGCAGCAAGGTTCTAGAATGGAAGTCTTGTACCGGTAAGCGCAGTGTGAGACGTCCACTCACTAGGTGGACAGACATGACATCATAAAGGTTGCAGGAAGGCGCTACATGCCCCCCATTAAGTAGGGGCGTAGTGGGTCCCGCCGTGTAGGGCGGGACGTTCGCGGATGGCGCTTTAGTCGTTCGGCAGAGGTAACACACCAGGTTTTTAGTGGGTTCGAGCCCCACATAACCTGCCGCCCCTGGCAGTAAGTATGGATAGGACATTTTCCTGGGTAAAAAGAAAAAAAAAGGCGCTGCATGCAGGCCGCTACCAAACAGAAATCATTGAGAAAAATCTATGTTTAGCAGTAGAAATCCTTTGGCTGAAATAATGATGATTAGCATACTACTTACTATCCAAATGCGGTTTGACGTTGGCTGCTCGATAAAAGCCACATTTTCTCAGGCAAATAAAGAATTTCCTCTAAAACCTTTCGTGATCCGGGACTTACATAAACCACCTTAACCGGTGGAGCAAGAGATTTATTTCTCGTCTGGTCAAAGTGCAAGAAAATATAGGGACGTGTAAAGGGCCCTTACGGCACCCTTTTCATTTTAATAGTTCAATTTTATTTTACAGGTGTTCACTCTTAACAATTTGATAACACTAATTTAGTTTAAGTATTCTTTATCATGAGAATAAATAGTATTTTGAATTTTTGAATATCTTTCAAGAAATGTGGATTTTAGTAGTACCTACTAGCCTACATGTTTGAGATTTTTGGCCGAGAGTCTAGGTTCATAGGGGCCCAGTGCTTATCACTCATCAGTGATGGGTGAAAATTGGTGAATTTCTTGGCCATACAGCGTGCATCGTAGAAAAGCAGCCAGCATTCTGGGCGCTATGTCACATTGTTTGGACAGCAATCTAAGAGCTATTTTTGACCCACTGCGCCAGAAAGAGCGTTAATTATGTTTTTTATTTATTGGAATTAATTTAAAATATG